TGCTCCTGGCGGTGCCGCAGGGGCAGAAGGTGGCCTGCAGTTGGCCCCCGTGCCCGCTCTGGCTGTGCACAGGGTGTGCGTGACCTCTGTGCAGAACGCCCTGGGCAGGGACTGTCTGTCTCGGGTGGTAGCTGTGGCCCGTGCCACTCTGAGCAGTGGGTCTGGGAGCAGGAGCCCGTCCTCCGCGATGGGAAATGTCTCTTGGGTCTGCAGGGTCTGGCTCCTGTCCCCGTGGGCCACGCTGGGGGTGTGGTCTTGCCGGGTCCTGCTCTGTCACCCTCTGGGCAGGGAGCGGAGGGCAGTAAGTAATGAGGAGCTGCTGCCTCTGAACCTCATATGTAGACAGGTATATTTGCATGAGCTGCCGGGTGGGTGGGTTGGTGTGTGTGTGGGTGTGTTGCACATGAGAGACTTTCGGGTGGATAGTGGTTGCCAGTTCTGCAGCTGCCTGGCAAGCTCAGGTCAGTGCTTGCCCTTAGTGGACAAGTGTTGTTTTCAGGTTCCCATTCCTTTTGGGCAGGGGAGCGCGTTGCTGCTTCCTCGTGTCGGGCCCCCGCCGGGTGGGAGGGTGCCCGTGGCTGATTGATTGCAGGCTGTGCTTTCTCAGGGTGCCAACCGCCTCTGGGAAGATGGAGCCAGGGAGCGTGCGGTGTAGGAAGGGAGCCACTGTGTGTGTGTGTGTTGTCATGTGTTTTGGTGAGCCTCCTTCTGGAGGAGTGTGGGGGAAGCAGGTCTTGCTGTAGGTGCTGAAGCTGTTGTCTGCTGTGCTGGGCTCTAGCAGGAGGACGCGAAGGAGCAGGCAGGCGGGCAGGGAGCGCTGCAGACCCCGGGGTGCCAAGGTGGAGTGAGTGAGTGAGTTTGTGTAGTCTTGTGTTGTGGGTGGTGTCTGTGAGGCTGCTGTGTTTTCTGCAGGGAAGCTGGCCCCAGGATGGGAAGAAGCTATGTGTGCCCGGATCTTCTTGGAGGAGTGAGGTCTGGAGAAGGTGCCTGGAGAAGAAGAAGGCAGCAGTGTGCCATGGAGCCTGGGTGGGCTCTCTTTTGCAGGACATGGCCAGCGCAGTCTGTCAGCCTGGGTGCCTCCTTGCCTCTATACCTGGCGGTGGTGGTGGTGGTGGCGGTGGTGTGTGTGCACACAGAGCTCCCCTGCAGAGGTGAGAAGAGAGAGGTGCCCAGAGAAGAAGTTGGAGGTGTGCCAGGAGGTCTGGGCACAGTCTCTTTTGCAGGACATGGCCAGGGCTGTTGGCTGTGGTGCCTCCTGGGCTGCGTGTCTATCTGGTGGAGCAGCAAGTGCTGGAGATGTCCCTGCTGGCTGTGGGCTGTGCAGGTAAGCAAGTAAGTAAGTAAGTAAGCAAGTAAGAAAGACAGTTTGTGATGGCCAGTGTGCAGTATTGGCATGGGGCAAAGGAAGGAAAGGCAGAGAGGAGGAAGGAAAGGCAGAGAGGAGGAAGGAAAGGAAGAGGGAGAGCAAGTAGTATCTGGGCTCAGTGAGAGACAGAGACATTGTTGGAGAGAGAGAGAGAGATGGATGGATGGATGGATAGATGGCAGCAGCTGTGTGGAGCGGTGCTGGGCTGCGGCTGCCTGGCCTGGGTCTCTGCGGCAGCACTGTTTGGTTGTGGGCCTGGCTGTGTGCGATGGAGCTTAGTGGTGGGGCAAGGTGCGTCTGGTGGGGGCTGCTGGAGAGGGCCTGTGGTCATGCTGAGAGAGCTGTGTGTGGACTGGTGCTGTAAGGAAGAAAGGAAGAAAGGGAGTGTGGGTTGTGAAGGGGTGCTGCTGGTTCCCTGAGCAGGCCGGCAGGCAGCGAGAGGGGTGTTTGTGCGCAAGGGACTCTGAGGAGCTTGTGCTGTGGCCTGTGGCCTTGCAGTCCCCTAGGGTGGTGGCTGTGTGGGAGTCAGAGGGGCCGGGGCTTAGTGTCAGCGGAGGCTTTCATGGGTAGAGGCTGTGCTGGAGGGGAGTCTGCTGGCTGGCAGGTTGGGAGGGCAGGTGGGATCCGTGGGGCAGCCTAGGGGCTGGGGTGGCCTAGGAGGAG